AAATTCAGTGCTGCGTTACATAGATACATGCCATGATCCGTATAAAATGCGTATGTATAGATAAGATTGTTAGAGAGTAACTATCGTTTTTCGTGTTATTATCCGTTTTCCAATGTGTTGACACTCACACATGTGCATAGTGGTGTTCTGGTATTTTTCGAATTCGTGAGAACTTCGAAGCGAAATGAAAATGAATTTCACATCAAGATAATAAAAGTTTTCTTTTTGGTCGATAGTTGGGCGATATAATACAAAATTGGAAAAATGTCAATGTCCATGTTTTCGGAATCTTTTTTTTTTGTTTTAATTTTTCTTTCTCTCTGTGTGTATGTGCGTAGTCTGATGAGTGGCGACTAATAAAGTATCCAAATGACAAAAATAGAAGCAATCAGACAATTTCGTGACACGGCAAAAAATGACAGCATATTCTCATGCCATAAATAAATGAACACTTATTTGGATACTAAACCAATTTATATTGGTGGTTTTTGTCCGTAAATATTTGACAGTGCGACAATTCTTTACCTGTTTATTTATGAAGTTGTTGGCATATGTCTTTTGTTTGCGTATGCGTACATTTATTCATATACGCGAATGTATTTTATATCAGAACGATGGTGCCTAATGTCTTTGTGCTCGTAAATGAATTTCTTTCTTTTTTCCTCGTTTTTATTAACTTTGGTCAAACGACGAATTGTACGTAATTTCATGGCCGAGAGTTTCTTTTTCTTGCGTGAAACGGCGAAACTATTTTATGAAGACCATCATCGTCGTTGACCTTTTGTCAATGAAATATTTATGATGGAAAAACACGTGCGAAAACTCCAACCAAATCGATTACTTTTCAAATTAAAAGTGTTGACCACTTTGTCATATAGCAAATGACGGTAAGACTTTGTGGTTGTTTTTTTTACGTACGCGTTGTTTCCTCGAAGCCTTGAGAAGGGCTTTCGAACTCTATTTTTATTTATTTAATGAATAAATTACTCTATACGCTCAACGTATACATATTGAAAATATTTGATTCAATTTATCCAAATGTACTATTTTTACTTTGGTCGAATTGAAGAGGTTAATCATAGAAAATAATCAACAGTCAATATCAATGGAATAGGAAAAAATTACCAATAAATACTGAAATAAACGCACATAAATTGTTGTGGCTTAATGACTAAAAAAAGGTACGCTCATTCGAATGTACATTATATACCGTTATGTAATTTCCATTGATCGCACGAAATAAACACGAACGAAATATGTTTTTCATGGAAAACATTGTGTGCGTTTCTTTGGCTTGATCCTACAGTCTTTTGATTATCATGTATAACAATCAATTAAAATGAATCGATCCGAAATTCTTTTTCTCTCGTTGACGACGCAAGTGAGTGTTATGACCTTTTTTTGTTTGTATTTTTTTCGTCGTAATCAAATCGTACATGCATTACCGTACACGTATCTGATCCATCAACAAATTAGTAAGATACGTTTCAAATCTGGTTGATTGGTGTTTCAGCCTCTAATTGTATAAATGGTACGCAACAACGATATTTGGATTCAAGTTTACTGTTACAGCCAATGCTTTTTTCTCTGTTTAGCGATTCAACTTTCAAATATCAGATGAACACGACCTATGATATTGTTGATTCTTTGAATGCTGAACACGTATCAACGTATAATGAAATTCAATGCTCTCTGTGTACGCCATTTCATGGTTTCTAAACACATCGAAATATATAACAACGGATAAAATCCTTTCGAAATAAATCCAACTCAATACATATATGCGTGTGCATATGAATATTGCAGCCAAAAATTTTCTTCAACTTTATAACTACCACACCCATCTCAAGGGATGTAGACTTGATGAAAAATATTTTTCATTTTGAATTTGAACAAAACGCACACTCAAAACAATCGATTAAATATCCAATTTCAAATTGAAAGTAATTTTAAGAAATTAACACCGACGAAACGTGAGCCAATTAGTTTTTCGAAGAGTGTATACCATTTAATTTAAGCTTTAAACACGAAGCCGATCCTCAGACTAATCAAAAGAATTAAAGTAAATTCCTCACATTTATAATGTAGCACATGACCTCGTCTTTCAAATGAAAGCAATGCTGTATTGATTTTTCGCATTCGGTTTGATTGGAAAGGCGGACCAATATTATGGCAAATTTACCAAATCACGCAACAGCATTGCCAAAGCACGAAACTAAAGAAAATGAAAAATTGAAAATTTTGTTGAATTGAGATGTTTTCATACTCTGAATAAGCATTTCCATAGTGTATGATGTTTATGAGATTTATCGTTTGACCCTAGGTTAAATCATTTTCAAATAGAAAATGTGTGGGATACAGAAATGGGTAAAACATTTCAACGAAAACTGACTTATATGTGTTTGGTTCATTAAACTAAGTGTCAATATCCAACAATCCTGTCGGCCTGTCCCATAATAAATGAAAACAAAATATACAATAAATTATGTAAATTTTCATGTGATGTGTCGCCATTCAACTAATACGATATTCGATGAAACGTGCTGAATTTCTTTACAGAGAACTATTGATCCGGATGAAATTTTTGCCGGAGGGGTCATCCATACAAGCAATACATCACCAACTACGTCATTGTTTCGCACAATTGTATCGTATTGTTTTTATTGTGGACGAATTTTTCCCATCGATAAAACGTATTAAATTCTCATACTACTCGCACCCATCAACAAAGGGATGCGTCGACGCCGCAAAAAGTAAAGCTTTCGTATTAACTTTTATCGATGAATTGACTGAGCGCCACTTATTCCAATATTTTTGAACACTCAGATTACTTTTACTTGGGATTTTTTCCTCTCTTTAATATTGGACATCCTCTACAAAACTTAACCAAAATATTATATTATCATTCAAAGGCAACAAATTATATAAAAAATGATTTTTGGTGTACGAATTTGAGCATTACAAGTGCTATAATAACACATAGCAGATAACAAATAGAATCAAATCGTAAGCGAGCACAAAGTTTTAAAGCCAAGCAAGTGAACTGGGTCATGATGCCTCCAAAAATACACTTAAAAAAAATAACAACATTTTTCTCCAAAACCATAACGCTGATGGCTCAGTTCACTCCCCACAGGATAAAAAAAAAAGAAAAATGAGAAAAGAAATAAATAGACAAATGGAGCAGCAAAAGTAATTTACACGAGCTTAATGTTCTCTACCAAATGATAAGCTTCATGTAGATTTTATGTGTGTGTGTGTTATTCTTCTTTTGTTGTACAGATATATATTTATATGTTGGTTTGAGGCATTCGTTTTGTGTGATTGGAGTTTGATCGTTTTCGGTATAATGTGTGCATGTTCTGGCGTGTGGTGTGAGTTGTGTATGTGAGTGTGTGGGTATGTGTTAAATGTACAAATATGTGTTGAATTACAGAGTGCTTAAGCGATATCACATGTGCTTTAATCAGGCAATTTCGGGCAAATAGAAAATAACAAGCAATTTTAAAACAGATTGTGATTTAGAGAGAAAAGCTGAGAAAAACAGGTGAAAAATATAAATATATGCAATAAAACATGAGAAAAATTATCTGGCGGTATTTTTGCAGGAGAATATATACGGTGCGCCAATATATCTTTGTGAAATTCGATACATTCAAATTTCACACAATTTTTTAATCTTCGATAATTTTTTTGATTCAAGAAATTGATTGAAATTAGGTTACATCCAGGTTGGAATGGTTCGAATTGCTCAGGAAAAAAACAAAAGTTGTTATTATTAGAAATGCGCTTTGCGCAGGCATTTTTGTTCGTTTAGTTAAGGTGAATTAAGAAATTCCATTTAAAAAATGTTTTCAGCATTCCTCATTCAGTTGAATATTGGAATTGAATATTGAACGAATATTTCGTGTCCTGTTTCCAGAGTTTAATACATGGATTGTTCCAAATTTGTATTGAATTTTGATTTTCTCTTTCCTTTGTAATATAGATACTATTCTAGAGTTTAAAATAAGCTGGCATTCGTATTTTGATGTTACTTTTACGGTGCAATTTGATTTGTTTTAAAAAAAAGAAATACGATATAAGAAAATCGTAGAGATAACCTGAATCCGATGCTCAACCTGCAAGCAAAGCATACTGAAATACATATCAGTTACATATATTTGTTTTTTTTTTTTTTTTTTTTTTTTGCTTTTCTCTCATCAGATGCACAAACAATTTTTCTTCAACACATTAAAGAATCGCTCGAGGTTATCAAGAGCACCGGCACCAGACTTTCTCTTTTTTGTTTGCTTGTTCAATATTATATTTGTATCAAAGAGTGGCTACTGCAAACTTTTCAAGCGGCAGCTGATGTTTTGGATCGTGTTCTGTGTATGTGTGTTCGTGTAGTTTAAGTGTGTAGTTATATAAATAAAATATTATTTAAAAGAAAACATTTCTTATTAAATGTTTGGAAAAAATGCACTTGAAATATATATGCATCTAGAAGGGTGCCTAGGAAAATGAAAACGTTAAATGTCGAGTTAAAAAAAAGTACTCATTTCATTCGCTCACTATGAAAATCGTCTAAATGCAAACAACTGCCGAATTTAATTTTCAGTAAAAGTTCAGTTTTTTTTTGTTCATTAAAAAGTATGCTTTTTCCATCTAAAAGGCTAGAATCAAAATGTAAAAAACGGCCAAGCCATTGCTAGTATATATAAAAAACGAAAACAACAAAAAAAAGATAATTAAAAGGAAATAACAAACGCGCGATATGCAAAATGCTTGCTGCTGTTTTTTTTCTGATGTTGTTTTTTTTCGCATTCAAATTAATACAATTTTTCTTGCGTTGGCTTTGATTTCAATCCGGGTGTGTGTGAGTGTGTGTGTGTGTGTGTTTTAGTGTTGTGTGAAGAAAAAAAAATGTTTAAGAAAATGTGTTTGGTATTCTCCTTTTTCTAGCAAACGTGTATAAAAGTAAATTGATTTTTAAAACACTATGGAAAAAGTCTTACTTCTTTTTGCTTTTTCTTTCGCCCATATTGTGGCTGAAAAATGCGGAAAAAGAGGTTTTTATCAACATCACTCAAAAAATTGGAGAGAAGGGTTGGGCTGTTTTGACACTGGCTTCATTTGCCCCCTTTTTGTTAGGAAATCTATAATCTTTTTGGTTTTTTTTTTTTCAACTGTAATTTTTCAATGTTATATCTACTATATATGAAAAATTTGACAAAAAAGAACGGATATTTTGATCGTGATAAAATAACTTTAAGATGAACATTAAAATGAAACTCGAGATAAAAGTATGGCTTAATTAAAATTATTAAACCCTTCGCGATGGAAATGGACATGTTGTGCATATTTTTTTTTTTTTTTGGTTTCGAATGAAGACGAATTTATGAGCTTGTGATTTTATATTATGTTTTTTTTTTAATTTGTGTTGTTTGATAAAACAGTTTGTTAAATTCATATATGCGATTCTAGGCTTATTATCCCCAGAAAATACATAGATGTCTTTTTGTATCACTCTAATGAACACGCCAAATTAATGAGATCCTTTTTTTCCTACATACTACAAAATGTGGATTCATGTTTTATAAGAAAGGATGTTTTTTTTTCACAAGAGATTTAAAACTGCTTAATAAGCAGTACTTAATGAGTTCTTCGGGTACTTTACAGGAAACTAATCATTGGGAGAACTTTGTTCTTTTTTCATTAATTATGAATGTATTTCGGCTGTTACCATGCTCTTTCGTCGAAAATTATAAAAGTTTGTCGTTAAAATGCCAAATTTGAAGCTAAAATAATCCATCCCTATTTCGTGCTAATAATTTTTGAGATCGATCCAAATTGGATATATTTTGATTTTGTTGTATTCATAGTCAGCTGAGCTGACCTTAGCTAAAGTCGGCATTTAAAATAGCAACATTATGAACATAAAGAAACCAAGTTTTGGCTAGGAAATCCGATGAAAAGTGTGATTACCCTTTGACATATTCCAAGTACATATACGCCATAGAAATTGACAATTGCCATTGGCAACGCAAGTGACACAACTAAAAAAGTGACTGACAGTGTATTCGTTGTAAATACCAAAATGTTGTCCCTCATTATCAGGAAATAAAGGAAAATTCGATGCTTTTATGGTGTTTCGATTATAACAAAAGAAATCGATTTAAAAGAATGGAGCTTCACATCCTTTATCATGCTAAAGGTTTATTGGGAAACAATGAAATTCAAAAGTGCTACACGTTGAGTAAGCGAAAACACTTGTTCTATTGAGGATTTTGAAGATTTTGTTTGACGCGGTTTAAGTATATGCGAAGTATTTTCTCTTTTATAATATTAAGTGAACATCAAACTATTTTTGATGTGTACGAGGACAAAACAATTAAAATTACTGTCAAATGTCAACAGATCCCCTTGTTCGTCGGTCATAAACCGGGGCCGATACAATGCATGAATTGAATTTTACCAGATTTATGTTTTAGCTCAACTAAGCCTGTGTGGACAAAACACCCACAATGTTTCCATCATAACGGTTTTGCTTGTTTCTTTTATACGTGTTATCCAAATCGTGCCGGATCCATGCGACAGCTGTTCGTTATTGGGATTCCAATTTCGGGCATTTACAACAATAGCACATTCTTTCAAAAATGTCAAACGTAAATACACTCGAAATGAAATCACTCTGCGTTGAGTTGAAAATAATAATAAAATCATTGTGTTTCTTTCTATCCTTGCGTTTGAACGTGAAACGAACGATTACACAATTCGCTCTGGGTTTCTTTGCATTGAGATGTGAATTTCCTGTATGAAACTAAACACAGGATATTATTTTCCTTTTTTTAATTTTCATTCGACAATGTATCGGTTTGAAATGGATTCAAAGAGGTGTTAAAGCAACCAAGTTTGGTATAAAACGTGGCTATTTGTAGTTGAATATTGAAGAATTCCCGCTTTTTTTCCATTAGGATATATTTTCCGACGGTGAAACCACTAAAAACATAGATTTAGCAGTCCTTGTGGGTTGAGCCTGAAGTAGCGGAAATTATGTTACACCAAATAATATGAGGATTTTATTCACAGCGCAGTACGAATTGAGAAGAAAAATTTTAATTTCTTCGTTCAACGACATTTATACGACGAATTGCAATGTTGTATCAAATGAGGATGACGCTCTTTTCACTATCTTCAATACCAAGCGGGTAAAATATTTTTACGTGCCATATTTTATGATTTCTTGGCCATAATATGATCATATCAATCTGAAAATTGAATCTCTATTGAGACATTATGTAGATTTTTTTTCCATCGCTTTTTTCGTTTTTATGAATCCGGTTGTATTATGGCTTGAATGTGTCGTTTAAAAGTGATTTTTATGCCAAAAACGCATCTCGATGGTACAATTGAAGTGCTTTTTCAAATATTGATATACTAAAAAAGCCGAAAACTTTTTCGATTCGAAAATGAGCCAAAGATTTTTATACCTACATCTCAAACATTACCGTACCCAAAGGTACATATATGTTGTGAGTAAAAAAAACAGAAACATTGAGATAGAGGCAAAGAAACAGAGCATTCTTAAAGTGTAAAAATCAGCTTTGTGGCGTCACTATTCTTTTTAAAATGCGACCGCCAATCATAAAATATGGATACGCTTGCGTACCCCGACGCCATTTCGGTGGATCGAACACGCAAATTGCTGGCATAGAATTCAATTGGATGTTTTAATATTTGATCAAATAAAAGCATGGTAAACCGATGAGAATGCGATTTTTTGCGTAGCAACGGTGCAATGCCACTTAATTCGAAATGTATTTGAAAATTGGATTCAAAAAGAAACATTAATCGTAGTTCTGCAATATGTATGTATTGGAAGAAAAACTAATATTTCATATGTCAAGATGAGAGTAAAAAGCAAATAAGTGGGGTTATAATGCTACGCAAATTTGAACCTTAATGTGTATAACAATAAGATTCATATTTGCGTAGCATTCTAACCTCACTTATTTGTTTTTTACTCTTAGCCACTCATATGAAGAAAAAAAATTATTTAATTTGAGAGAGAATTCAACTGTAAACATCAGGCTCTCAATTCTTGGTGTTCAGTGAAATGTGTTTTTGTTAGTGAACTTAAAACACAATAGATCCGTTAAATATGTACCAAGAATTTTACATAACCCAGTTACATTCAAAGAAAGTCGTAAATTACGACTCATAATATGTACAATTATCGCAACACATTTAGGGAAATTTGCATATTATTTACACGACTCCCTGAACACAATGAATTTTTAATTTGTGTCCTCATTTAAAGTCGATACGTGAGATCTGAGCCATCTGTACGACTTGCATTTTTTACGAGCTCCGTTTTCTATCACTTTGATGTAGATGCCATTGAAAATACGACAAACTTTCAAAAATCTACGAAGCAAAAGAGTCTAATGGTAATCGATATGGAAAGAAATAAAGTATTCTGTAAAATTTCGAGAAAGTAATTAAAATTCATGTTCATAAATTTAGTTTCCATAATTGTCTAATAATACATTTTATAAAACGCAATTTAAACCCGAAGAATTAAAAACACGCTTCAGTGTTTATTTCTCAAAAAAAATCTTGTGTGTCTCATCATAATTTCAATGAGAGAATTCAAATGATTAAGAGTAATTTGATTGTGAATATTGGCGAGGATTATTTCGCATATTGGCAATATATTAACCGAAAAAAAGGAACAAAAACTAAATAAACGTAAAAATATTATAGTATGCGCAAAATACGAGCTTGAATGAGTGGTTTTGTATTTGGTTTTTTGAAGCGAACATTTTTGAAACAAAAAATATAAGTTGTTGACTGCTAACAGAATGGTAAACAATGATGAGAGTGTGCATTGAATTAAACATATATACGAATTTTGTAAACAAATGGAAAAAAGGTCAAACAATCGACAGGCCAATTATCAACTTACACACACAAATATATAGAAAGAGTTTTGCATTAAAACAAAAAAATATACATCGATTAAATGCCAATTTAAACCATTCATCGAATTTAAATTTGCGGGTGCAACAATCAATTTAATTAAGTAAATGATGAGCCTGAAAAAATGCAAATAAATTAGCAATTGATGGGATCGGATGATGGTTGATGGAATGAAAAATGATGGGTATTGAGTTCAATTTGTCAAACGTGGCATGGTTAGCAATGTTGGGTGCATTTCACAAATGGAAACTCAACAAGTTAGTTAAGTAGAAATCGTGAATGTATTTCAATCGGTATACAAGGAAAATAAATTTTCTAATTAGTGATATCGTTGTGTGAAACAGGTGAAGCTCATATTTCCATATAGGAATAATCCAAATTTTCGAGTATTATGGCGTTCTTTAGCACTTCTATTGAAATATTATACTTTTGAATCGTTTTATTTTATTTAATTAAAGAAGATTTGTGGCGATGGTGCTAATATTTCAATGTAAGCATAAAGTCAGTTTTATTGTATTGATTGACGTGAAGCTCACACATTAAATTTGAAATAATATAACGATAAGCATTGATGGTTTAACATTAATAGCATTTCTTTTCATTTTATATATGTCTTTATGTTCGCCGTGTGATTAATGAAGCTCAAATACGAAGAACTGTGTAGAAGACACAGCTTATATGATCTGTTCAAATAAAGGCGAGTTATGCGAACATTGAAACGCGCTTTTAGATGGCCATAACATAGCCACTAACGTGCACATTTATCAACAGCAAAGCTACTGCTATCGTTCAATTCGTGTTATGGTTTCGTTACGGCAATTATTGCATTTGCGCGGTGTCTACATTTCCATTGCGTCAGATGTGTACATCCGAACATCTTGTGGCATAAATTTTTTCTTGCCTATTATATATATGCGCATTTTAAATCCATTATGTTAGACACTTTGCCTAACACTTATACAAATAATGAATGAAATATATTCGCCACATTCAAATAAAAGCTACAATGAAGTGCCGTATGAAAAATATGTATTTATGATGATTGTAAATAATTTATTAGCGCTATTTTCGTTATTTTTTTACATTGTACTCGGAGGAAGAACTTTTTTGGATGGATGTTTTTTTTCGTAACTTTTAAAATAGATTTAACCTCATTGTGATTTATGAATTGTGTTGCAGTAAAATTAGAACAAGTTTCATGAACAGGCACAATCTTTTATGCAAATGCCACCAATATATGACGCTATTCATAATTTAATCGGTCCATTCACCACAAGTCAAGTGGATTTTAAAAAGCAAAAGATATTCTATTATTTATGCATTGAAGTGATGTTGTTTCATTTGTAATTGTTCATATTGTGCCTATTGTTCCTTTTTCACAGAGACATTAACACAGCTGGTATAAATCAATTATACCATTCGAAGCAAGAAGTTTGATTGATTTTGGTTGACACATTATTACTCTCACACAAACCAGATTAAACAAACAATTACAAATTATTATTATGTTCGAAAGTGAGTTCGAATGAATTTTCATTGGTTTGAAAGCGATATATATGTCGATTTCTACATAACACAAAATCGAAGTGAGGTTGTTCGGAACCCCACAGTTTATACATTTATGGATAACATCGAAAAATGCAATTTAATCAAAATAATTACGAGCATCGTGGTCGGTGCGTGCGTGCTGTGGCTCATCCATCGGTTTTTTTCGGAAAGGAACATTCGATTTCGATGAAATTTTATTATGGCAATCAATAAGTATTGCTTATTTATGGGTGGAACAAAACATAAAGTGTCGATCCATAAAATTGATACTAATTATACATTACATTATACCAGTCCCATTGACGTCTTCTTCAATACAATTTGAAATATATATATAGACACACGCGTATATATTAAGCTCTTGGGACAGGGTTGTATTGACATGTTTTATTAATTTTAATGAAATAATATATATGTCGGGAGAATGGAAACCACGACCGAACAATATAACGTTTATTTTTCTTTCCATAATGAAATACGATTTTTAATGTATGACCTCTTGAAAATTGCTGCTCACATAATGATGGCTTTATGATTATGTCATCGTTATTAAAAATGTTTGTTCATCGATCGAATAGCTTTTTCAACGATATACTAAAAGTTATGTAAACTTTCTTACTACTTTTTTAGTTGATTAAATTACTGATTTGTGGTTAAAATTTCAATGTTCTTCAATTTAATAAAGTATTTTGATATCAATGAAGTTGTTCTTGAAATATGATTGTATGAGATTCGATACGGTTCTTCAAGAATGTATATCATTCTCAATTGTGTGAAAAGTGAAGAATGTGTGAAAAATTCGGGTGTTCCTATATAATATGAATTTCTGTCCAAAAATGATTACTATTGGGATTGAGCTTGGTTGAAAAGTATGTGAAATATGATGATGAGTTGCGAACATGTGATGATGAGTTGAATATGATTGATTGTGAGATAGAGCGGAAGAGAATGATGGGGGATGAAACACACATAAAAACACGTGTTAAATGTTTTAACGAAAATTAAATGCGTAATTAATTATATTAAAAGGGTATATTTTTCTTCTAAATCAGATCATAGCCACAGTTGTTTGAAATGAACTTGTTTATGACAAGAGCTGTCATCACAAAATTTCAAACTTAAATTAAAATAACACTCAACTCACTTATACACTGTGATACCATGATACGAATTAGAAAAATAGTATATCCAGCACATATCGGATAATAATCATATATATTTATATATGTATATATCATTATTAATAATCTTAATAATTAATAATTCGGTGTAAAATAATCCTATTAAACAGTTCAGTCACTTATTATATGGTTTGTCATATTTTTTTTTCTCTCACTCAAAATATTATTTTACGTAGTTCTTGTTACTTGTAATTAGCACGCACACATATAAATTACTTCTTACATATAATAGATAAATTAATATAAATAGACATAAAAGAGAAGAGAGATATCATATAGTATATAGTATAGTATAATATATATAAGGCATTTTCTGTTTTTTTTTCAATTGTTCACACAGTTACAGGAGAAGAGAGTACACAGAAAATAATATGTATTTATATATAAATATGTGAAATATTTATATATAAATAAATAATTATATATATATTGGTATACACAGACATAGAGAGACAGATGGACGACATTTAACAACAAGAATAAAAAATTAGATGCTTACTACCTCTCCTTCGGCTCTTTTCCTTTCCAACTCTTTTAGTTTACGTTGTTCCTCAGCAATACGACCTTGAATTACGACTAATGATTCGCGGGTGAAGGGACGGAACAAGCAGCGTTCTTCCTCGGATATCGAACTTAAATCGTCTATCATTTTCTATAACCAACCCAATGAATAAAGAGCCTCCAACCAAGGCCTAAACATTTGAATTTTAATAAACATAAACACGAAAACGAAAAAGAAAAAAATTGAATTACAATCAAATTAGTTGAATGTCGACTAAGTGAATGGACATTTTTGAAACGACACCGCTATTTTCTTTTTCTCCTAATGCTATCAAAAAAAAAACAACAACATTGATGCACACTTATAATGTGCACATAATTAAATTGTCATTATCTCGTTTTCAATGTGAATGAGTGAACGGTCATTTTCGGCTCGTTACCAAAACCAATTAAGTAATGAAAATGGACGAATGAATGTCGCGCACAACGTGAATCATATGAGCTCCCTGTCATATTGCCACAATATAAAATTGCTTCGCATTCATACATAGGTAGCTTAGAATTTGAGCCAAATTTTAAGATTTAATACATATATATTGCTTGTGAACATAATGGTCTAATATGGGCGAGTTTTTGATACCAACAACACGCTAATGTGGACATGATACATGAAAAGTTTAATACAATTTTCCACACTTAATGACCTCAATACTGACTGCATCTGGTAAAAACTCTGTATTTTGCAAATACCATGTATACATTTTATGCAAATTCGCTCTGGCCGAGCACTCCAGACAGGCAGATATATCTGTGTGTATATCGCTGCGCTTACTGAATATGTTTGAACGAGATAGAGGGAAAATTCGATTAATTATGCATTAAATCAACTTTTTTCTCATTTTAACTTTTGCTTTTGTAATTTCTGTACCAGAAAGCGTTTTTCTACCACTGGGTTTTGCACAACACAATCCAAACATAAACTATTTTAATTTGATTTGCGGTACAAAGCACTTTATATTGTGTTAATGAAGAAAATTACATAGTGTTGCAGTCAACGCTTAATTCGACTAATTTTCGCTTGAACACTAATAGAACACTTTGCTTACAGATCAGGATTATACAGCAAATACAAAAAAATGAATGGATTTGAATGGAAAGAAGTTGACAAGTGGAGAAGAATTCAAGAATTTATTATTTCTTTTGTAGTTTCAATAGAATTTTTTTCAATCCAACTGTGCTTTTTTTCTTTGAAGGGAGTGCAAGGCAAACAACGATATGTGAGTGAGTTCGTAAGCATGTCCACTTGTGAAATATGTGAAGGAAATTCTTTGGCAATTTATGATTGGAATAATATTACTCATAGTAAGAAAGTCTTATCAGCCGGACTAAATTAGTTTGAGCATTGTTTCCGTACTTCTTGGGGCTGTTTATTCTATTGACTGTGCCCGAGATAGAAGTTTTTTTTCTGTAAAAAGAATTCCGTTGAAATTCCTCATTGGAGTAGGGATTGTTGTTGTTGACCTATTATGAAACTTTTTCCCTCTCGCTGAAATTGAGTTAAATGTTTCTTTTCCAGAATGAGTTTCTTTTTCGGAATATTTGGATTTATTTCGGTCTCTTTTTGTTCACAAATAGATCAGAATTAAATGGAATGACATACAGAGATTCAATTCACACGAGAAAGAGAAAAAACGTGAATAGAAATGGATTTTGTTTAATTACCTGCTAACAATGATGTATTGAAGGGGCACGAAGCAGGCCAACGAACAACGGCTGGCTCGGGCCCCACGAGCTAACTGCACTCCAAAAGAACAAAAAAAAAACATTATTTTTATAATTAAATTGTTTAGTTTGTCGCTTTTTTTTCTTACTTCTTAGAATATTTTAAACTCACCTGTCGTTCGAGAAGGAATCAGGATCGCGGTAAATTTAGTCACAGCAGTTACACGACAACAACTGGGACTCGAAACAATCCAGTGGCCAAGAATTTTTTTCATGACCGCCCTAAAAACAAACGAACGAAAATTCGATTACATGATAAAAATGCGGGTCTGAATTTTCGGTGTTTGAAAGCGATGAATTGAGATGAAACCGATGCGGTATTGTTCACATACATGTGGTGTGGTACATGAATATTGCTGGAGTTGAGCTTCAACTATGTTGAGGCGTCATGGTGAATGGACGCCGTCCTTTTGTTTTTTTTTGTTTTTCGTAGTCAACAATCAAAACAAAAAATGACGCTACGCTTCAATGGCCTGTTTAATGATCAGAGGAGTAAAAAAAACACATTGAAAATCTGTTTATTTATTCTAAATAACGAATTGGTTTTCGCTCACGCAAGGAAATATCACGAGTATTCATTTGTGCAACCATAGAAGATGACGTAAAAAATTTAGGGAGGGGGGTGATGGCAAAATTCCGTAGGGGGTCCCTGGAAAAATCCATGGGAGGTCCCTGACGATGTCAACAATTAGTACGAAATGAGGATAAAATCGTTTTTTTTTTTGCTCTTCACTTTTTTGGCGAAAATCCCTAGCAAATCGAAAGAATTTTCCTACTTCAAATTGCCTTGCAAATCCAAAAATGACAAGAAAATCCTTTTTTGATTTTTTGGAAGTCACTTTTTGGGGCAAAAATCCCTAGCAAATCGGAAGAATTTTCTCGGCCAAAAAGTGTGAAGAGCAAAAAAAAGGTCCTCATTTCCAAAATTGTTGAGGGTTCCTAAAAATATTTTAGGGGGGTTATCCGACCCCTAGGAACCCTCGTCATCACCTATGTGTGCAACGAATGATTCATTTTTTTCCGGTTTTGTTATGCTCGGGACTTATGAAGACGCATATGAATTTCATTTGTATTTTAATTTTATGGTTTTCTGATATATGTTATAACATTGATGTAAAAAGCTGTGAAGAGATGCATATTACATTTGCCATTCAAATGCAATAAATATGTTTGCCATGTATGTTTTAAAATTTTCATCAAGATGTTAACCAACAGACAAGAAACAAACTGGATCAATCTGGATCCAGTGAGAGTTGAATAGAATGAATGGATGAATGAATGAATAAAACACCTGTTTCCATGACAACGGTCCTCCATACACATAGTCAAACATCGTTTGAACGAAGTGTTTTATGTTTCGATGCCTGCAATACACGAGCGCACATACGATAGATTTCAAAAATTCCCGAGCATATGCTCCAAAAACAACAACAACAACAACAGCAGCAGCACAACATGCATATAAGGACTTTCTCTCATCTCGGTGGCCGTTAATCTAGGCCATTTACTCGGCTGAAGAAGATCGAGATATATAGATTCTCTGTTTTCGATGGAAAACAGTTGGAATCTATACATAATTTGTTCAGTTGGTGTTGAACCACATTGAAAAGTGATTTTTCTGAATATACGAATACCAACAGCATGACAACAGCTCCAACTAAAAATGCTGGAAGTAAAAGTGTTTGCGCATCAATAGAATTCATGTTGTTCCTCGTCCGTGCGTTTTGCATGTGTTTTCATCATCCACCTGCAAGTAGCTATACAACCGCTACGATGGTATGTGTATTTGTATGAGTGTTTTCGGATCTCGTACCAAATCGCTTTTATGCCGAACCAAAACGAGAACTGCGACAAAATACTACACACTGGTTTGATTTTGTTACCCGAAACATAACTTGACACACATTCAACCATACCGACCGAATGCAGTAACCGAGACACTGTGTTTTTTTGTATGCTATCAAATACAAAAGCACCACTTCACAGCGATTGCTATCAAATGTTGTGTGTATTGTACACACATCGGCCCGCATGCGTATTCCCCCGCACATAAAAGCGTAATTCACATCGGTTCTTTAGCTTGCTTGCTCGCCTGAAAGCCTCGCTTGCTTTCAATCCACGTGAAATATGGTGTTTTTGTGCACAAATTAATATGAAATAGCCAAGCAAATCGACAATAATGCCATGCGAGTTTTCACCTCTGCGAATGAATGAATGTGACTTAAGTAATTAGAGGTAATGCATAGACTCGACTCCCTTTTAAAACAGTCGTATGATCCATGTGTATTTGGACGAAATGTACATAAAGTGGATACGGATGAAAGGATTATAACTATTTCAAAATAAATCCTATCTCACCATTTTTGAATAAGTATGAAACTTTTGATTAATGTTCTTGTTTTTCAATTCGCTAAATACACATTCTTTACTTCAATTGATAGCCACATTTTCTGTTTCATTGCGGCTTAAATTCGATTTAATTGAAATTAGTACTGGACTGGCAGCCAATATTATAGCCATTTGACTTGTTTATAGATCCGAAAAAAAACAATGACAATCATCCGCGGGATTTATTTTTTGCATTTTGAATTTATTCAACATTGTGTAAAGCTGTAAAGATTACTGAACCAAGTCATAGCTATGCTGTGAGCGACATGAATTGTACGAAGGTTATGGACATGTAACAATGCGTCTGACAATTTTGACATTGTTATTATCATCATTTATCAGAAAATATATTTCAACAAAGCAGAAATGAATTCGATTTCCGTTCACATTTTGGTCCTTGTTGCAAATGCAAACAATGCCGTAAGCTGCGATACAACCATGACTTTGATTGAAGAGAGTCAATGTTATTTTTGTATTGTTTATAGACACAGATGTCGTTAATTTAATTTTAACAACCAATATTTCCATTGGAAACTGAGCAAAAAACCACTTCAATTGTTTGCTTATTGATGTCTCCTTTAATTCGCTATACAAGAAGATTTCAATGAGAACATTATTGAATTTCAGAAAATAATCATCGAGAACTCAATAGAAAACAATATCTTTTTAACTCAAATGAAGCATAGCTACGATGATTTCAGCATATTTGAAAGATAGAAATGCGATTTAGTTGAAAATATTAGTATCTCGTTTATAATAATAATTCAATTTCTTCTCCATTTCTTACAAAACTCTGACAATGTCTCAGAGTTTATAGAGATGAGAATACTTGATTTTTTGTTTATTTCAACACAAGTGCCTCTTCAAACAGGGGCGTATGCAGGGTAGAGTAGGGAGCGCTTGCCCTCTCCTAAACTCGAAAAACCCAGAAAATGTCCTCGTTATTGAGAAGGAATATTATTCCGATTTGCTGGTGCTTTTCGCCGAAAAAGTAATTGCCTTTTTTAGGTCCTCATTTTTAATTTTCCCAAACATCTTTCAATTTACTAGGAATTTTCGTCCGAGATTTACTAGGTATTTTTAGAGGAGGAAAATTGTCTTCCGTTTTTATTTCATTTGCCCCCTAGACTAAATCCTTTGGACGCCCCCGTCTTCAAATGAATTCACATCTTCACTTTTCGTGGATTGATGCTATGTATAGTACACCATATCAAATGTTTTGTATGAGTTTAGCTCGTTTAGCTTGAGTTAACGCCGCTATTTAAACAATTATTTTGCCTGTACAAAAAATGAGAGAGAGAAAAAAGCGGCAAATTGTGTCAACAAAAGTTGAGAACTGACTTGATGTAATTTGATAATATCATCTTTCAAAATATTCCTGGAAAACTTTTCCAAACGCATACACATACAAAACACGATGAAATACGATTCAAATAAGCCTTACAACGGAGATCTAATGTATGATTATTTCTTCTCCATTACACATTCAAATGTCAAGAAAGAAAGAAAACTTTCGCTGATTGAATTTAATATGGTTTTTGGCTGTTGTTATAAATTACTTAAAAAATTGATACAAAGAAAGTATTAATACGACGTACAATGAAAATATGCGTAGGCACGCTTTTGACTAAGTGTTTGTAAACTTTTGCCAAATGAAAATAAATGTGCATTTTTAGAGTAGAAAAAAATCGATACAGAAAGCCCAAAAACTCTCAAAATGTTTCGTTTTTAATCTCATTTTAATGAGCATTTATGTACATTGTACACACACTCATGGAAACTCCTTGTAATTCTTGACTCGTTAAAAGCGCTTCCATGTTGTGTTGATTCATGTGCTTCAAATAATGTGAATAACATTTTAATCATAGACTCTAAGTTTTTTTTTTGGAACAACACAAAAAGTACAAATTCCAGAAAGTGTAAGTATAAATCTATGTTGTTATCTCAAATTAAACTCGAATTTTCAAGACGACAAGAATTTTGGATTTGTGTATCATGATTTTTTTACGTTTAAATGCCATTTTATGGTGCCAAGCAATGAAACCTCGATCAATATTCCACCTACTTCCTTGTAGCGTCGTAACTCCTTTTGTGTAGCACAAATAGAAATTCAAAAATGAATATTGAAACTATCACGGTTGATGTGGGTCGCTACACTTGACATTGTTTGTTTTTGGCATTTTTGTTAATTAACATTAATTTTTGGCACACAATAACATCCATAAATATGTTCTCTATTTCATGTTGTCGCAGTTTAGAATTAGTGCAGCTTTATCTGTGATGGATTAATCGGACAGTCAAATCAATAAACACAATTATAATGGAAAATTTATTGGCACAAAGCCACAAAACACATTCGCTTAAAAAAACTGATGCAATTCGCTGGAGAAGACACAGTGCACAGACTACTGCTCCATATAAACACAGACGGCTGATAATGACAGCGTTGTATAAATTTATTCAAATCTCATAATAAAAAAATTAAAATTTGGTACAGCGAGGAGAAAAGTTGTTTTGTTTCAAATCATTGAATTAGATTTGACAATGGATTTTTTTGAAATGTTACTTATAAACTTTTGTATTACGTAATTAAATAACATTTTGCTCCTTTGATGATTATCATTGCGATGAAACTACTTTGTAAGTAGTATGTGAATGGCAGGGATAGGGAGGCGGTTCACCTCTTCTGGCATCCATAATGAACCGATTTACACTAGATAAAAATGAAAATGTTTAAGTGAGAAATAAGTCCTTTTTGCACTTCAATTTTGAAAGCAGCCGCCCTAGAAACCTGACCTCGTACAATACTCAGTCATTTTTTTATCTCAACCTCCTCTGCAGAGGATGATAAGTGGTTTTTGATTCTACTAGGATCAAAATTTATAACGGGGTGGAAAGGTTTTGGTTTAAAAAAAACCCATTAAATCAAAAGAATTTGTCCCCCGTCAAAAATCCCAGCAATTTTAAGAAAATTTTCTCTACAAAAATCCTAGGAAATTAAAAGGTTTTATCCCCTCCACAAAAACCAGAAAGAATTTTTCAAAATTATATTAACTAAATTATTCGCGATTCAATGAAAATGAGA